CAATGAGTGACATGTGTGTGTCCCAGGATCCTGAGCCACCAGCCTAGGAGAAGTAACTGAATTAGGAGATCCGAACTCTTTAGCTTCTTAAGAGAGTTCTATGAGCAGATTGAAGACGGATCCTTGCATGAACCCTGTTCCTACCAAGAGGGCATATTCGATCTAGAAAAGAACTAGTAGGAAGAAACCAAAGTAGATGAACTAAACTTCATTAAATATAACCATGTTTGGGATCTAGTCACCCTACCTCATGATTGAAATCTGATGTAAATTTATTCATAGGAAAAAGGTGAATGCAGAAGGGAAGTTAAAAAAGTATACAACCAGATTAGTTGCGAAGGGGTACTTAGAAAGAAGGGATTGACTATGATGAGACCTTCTTCCTAGTAGCTAAGTTCCTACTCATTGGGATCTTGATAGTCAAAAGCAGCCCATTTCGACTTCGCGCTCCACCAGAGAGATGTAAAGATGGCATTTTTAAATGGGGAAGTAGAAGAAGAAATTTACATAAAGAAGCCAAAGGTTTTCATAGAAAAGGGTAAAGAAAGCTTAATATGCAAACTTAAGAAATCCCTTTATGGCCTAAAACAAGCGTCGTAGCAGTTGTACATAAAGTTTCAAGAGATCTTGTGAAAAGCTGGTTTTGTGACTAACCAGGAGGATTATTGCATCTATGTCAAGGTCAATGTGAGTGATGTAGTGTTCATCTCCCTGTATGTTGATGACATGCTAATTGCTAATAGTTCAATGACTCTTGTTTTGAAAACAAAAGCTTTCATATCTCAGCACTTTAATATAAAGGATCTTGGAGAGATTTTGTATGTACTCGATATCAAGATAACTAAAAATAGAAGAGACAGAACCATTCAGCTGTCACATGAGACATATTGCAAGAAAATATTGGAAGTATTTGTGATGGATAATTGTAATCCCATATTGACCCCTATTAATAAAAAGACTAGTCAAGCCTAGCCATGTGTCCCACAAGTTCAAAAGGAAAAGAGCCATGTATATAAATACATTACAGATGTGCAGTTGGGTTGCTAATGTATGCTATGCTAGGGACGAGACCGGATTGACTCAATCTTTTGCTATGAGTTAGTAGGTTCTAAAGTAATCTAGGCATGGAGAACTGGAAATAGATAAAACGAGTATTGCGATAGTTAAAGGGGACTGTTAATCTTGCACTCACATATGGAGGAAGCTCTGATATTTAGGCATAGAGATATTCAGATGCAAACTATTGGGGTGATCCAAATAAGAAGTCCACATGTAGGTATATCTTCACTCTTACCAGTGGAGATGTTTCTTGGTGCTGAAAGAAACATGACATGGTTGCAATCTCAACTATGGAGTGAAAGTATGTGGCTTATGGTCTCCCAACGAAAGAAGTAGTTTGGTTAAAGAAGTTTTAGAATCAGCTCAGATTCAATCTCGTGAGATGTCCATGCATAAGGATCTTCTATGATAACAAGACAACGATGTCTAATGGGCAACGATTTCACAAGAAATCAAGGCATATAAAACTGGACTACTACTACGTTGCAATGAGATTCGAGCAAAAGAGACCGAGGTCTTTTATCTCCCAATAGAGGCTATGTTTACAAATCCTTTGATAAAAGGATTAGTGAAAAATGTGTTTGCCAAGCATCTACCTGCGATGGACTTGAAGTGATTGCATGGCCTTCAAAGGCCAAATGGGAGATATTGGGTTTTGTAGAGCTTGAAAATAAAATAATTTAGAGTATTTTGTACACTACAATTCAATTGTATTGCGGTTGATTGACCTAGGATTGGGCAATATAGGGCTTTGGTCATATCCAAAACCCTTACCCCTGAGCATGTGGTACTACCATTGAGTGGTTGTTGTGGGTTATCCTTTGTTGAGGTCGAAAAGATGCCCAGGGATAATATTTATTGGCCAGAAGAGGTATATGGTCTCCTATTTGAGGAAGGATTTGTGAAAGCAAGAGCCAAATACTCAACATAATTCCACACAATGTATACATATGACAACCGTATTTGGGGAAGCAACCTTATATAGAAGGATACATGTACATATGCATAGAGAGAGTGCCTTCTTGTCTAATAGTTATGTGTGCATTTGACTTGCTCTTGGCGAGGAACTTGTAATCCATATACCGGGACAATGGTTCTATTGTTTATTGACTAACTTTGACGGATCAATCATGAGCCCATGCTTTTGATCGTGGGTCATGGATTCAATTGGTTAGTTTAAGAAGATAGTAGGGTATCATAGGTCATGGCACGGGTGGAGTGCCATGATATTCACTTGTTATTTGACTTATAAGGTACCTATCCACTTCTAGATTGTATTTCTGTTAGTTTTTTTATGGAAATCCAGAAACATTGTTTTCAATTGAAAAAATGTTCTTGTGATCTTTGGGGATTTTTTTAGAAATTTAAAAATGAATTTTAAATGTGTAAAAATCCCAAATGGGTATTTCTATATTTTTTAAAATGAGGGAATTTTTGGGAATTCAATTATTAGTGGGACCATGTGGGGGGCTTACGGCCCATCCCCAACACATGTGGGGCCCACATTGGGGCATCATGTCAAGCCCACGAGGGCCCACATGGCCCATTAAGTGTGATGCCCACTTTTTTTTTTTAAAAGAAAAAATGTAACATTTTGGTTAATTTTTTTTTAAAGATTATCGTACTGATTTTCTTAATAACTATACAGGGCCTAATTATCTCTTTCTAGGAGAATAGGATTCCTAATTTATCTTGGATTGTTCTAAAATAAGGTTTAACTAGTCAAAGTTCTAAATGGATTAGAAGTGCATATGGGTCAAATCTTAGGGGATAAGTTTATTAAATATCCTCTCTGAATCATGATGACTAATCTCAAAGATTGATGGCTCAGATTTAATATTCTCTCACCTCACAGATCTCCTAATAATCCTAGATATTGTTGAACTCTCTTTCATTTCTCTCTAAGTCCTCTCTCTTTTCTCTCCCAAAAGGTGGCATTCCACCCATAAGAGTTGATGTTGCACACATCTCAAAAAGAGAGGCCAAGGGGAGGGCACGCCCAACCCTAGGCTAGGGGACGTTCCTTTGTGGCATGCTGAGGTTTAAAAATGGTTTCTTTGTAGAAAACCTTTCTGTTGCCCTAGCTCTCTTGCCCCATTAAAATAAAAGAGGGAGTTCTAGAATTGCTTCCTAGTTCAAATTGGTGGTTTCAGCAGGTTCTATGATTCAATGCACTATTGATCAGCTGTGGGTGTGCTAGAACCCTAAGAAAATTCCAATAACTCTTCTCTTATTTATTTACATTTAGTTGATGTTGTTTTTTGTCTTATTTTTTCTTCCTAGAATCTTAGTATTGTATTTAGTTTGAATAAAAATTATTTTGGAAGTGAGTTATAAAGATTTTGGACTACAATAATTTAACAAAAAGTATAGAATGAGACTATTTACTTTTTGTACAAGGTGGTCACAATTAGTCTTGACCATTGGATGTGATATTAAGTGGCTGCATTTATTCCATTGACCAAGCTCAAACTTCAAAAGAAATTTTCTCGAAACTTTGTGACACACCTAAGCTATCGAATTTCACATTGGATGGGTGCAAGTAATTGTGCTCACTTTGTATCAAAGGTAAATGGTCTCATTGTATACAATCCCATAATTTAAATGTGTTATATTTGTGGCATCTATAAGTAGAGTTTCCAGCAATTAATAAAAGAAAAGAACGAAAATTTCTGAATTTACAGCCTGAAATTCATTTAGGGCCCTCTTAAGTATCTAGATATAATTTATGGTTATGTCGTTGCTTTAAAGTCTTGCTCCAAGGTGCTGTCAACGTTAGTTGCCAAGTGTAGCAGAGTATGAATCCCTGCCCGTTGCATTTTTGATGGATTGTAAAGTATTATGTCGATCATTTCTCTTTGGTAGTCTGGCCTTTGAAGAGAAACAATTCATCTCTGTTTCCGTAATGCATTATCTCATTGTAATCACAATTTTTGAGACAATAATGATGATTTTTTTTTTCCTTCTTTTTGTGTTTTTTTTGTTCTCATTATTTTAATGCTAAACTCTATATCTGTAGGGAGCCGGGCACACAGCTCCCGAGTATAAGCCCAAAGAATGCGTTGCAATGTTAAAGAGGTGGATCTCAAATGAGCCATTGTAAATTATCAGTATAACTGCCTTCATTTTTAAGAGATTGTGTAATTTATGAGAGGTTCAAACTGTGTCTTAATGTGCTGAAGGCTTGTATGATTTGTATGTAGGAAGTGATCTTGTGTATTGTACATGAAATAAATTAATTTTCAATGAAATAATTGTCTATTGCATTTAATTTGAAATAATATATAAAATATTGGCGCAACAACTTACATTTTAGATCTCATCATGGTCATGTAGTGACAATCCTTTGGCTTCCAGTTCATGTGAACTGCACATTCCATCCAACTTTTGGGGAGCTGAATTCTACTGTTCTTGGGTGCTCACAAACCTTGCTCCTGCAGTAACTGTGAATTAACTAATATTCCATTAGGTAATAAGACCATTTCGATATCGTAACTTAAGATTTTACATATTTTATGAACTAGTAGCTTGACATAGAATTGGGACTTAAAGACGAGCCTTACTCATCCAGACCTAATCTTTAGTGTTTTCGGTCTCCTGCCTTTTCCATGATTGCTTTGGTTAAAGGAAAAAGCTTATATAAGGGTGAGTCCCTAAACAATCAAATTAAGGCGCACCTCAAAAATTCACTAGAAAATGACATGTTTTAATACCTAAAAATCCTCAAATCGATCATCTCTACTTCAAGATCTATGAAAATGAGAAAAATAGATTTTGAGTCTCAAAGATAGTGCATCTCATGGTGCATTTACTTAACCATCAATTTTCAAGATTTTCAAGCGTTCATGAATCTGCTTGAACTATGCTATATTAATTATGAAATTTAATAATTAGAGACAAAAATAAATTTTCAGCCATCACGAGGAATTCTGATACTGAAACATGTTTTGGTACTATTTGAAGGTGCTCTTTTGATTGTTTAGGGTTTCAGCCTTAATAAAAAAAGCACACCCTTTAAAAAGGAACACCTTCCAAACACTCCCTTTATAAAGGTGCTTTGTATTAAGGCTGAGGCTCTAAACAAGGGAGCACTTTCAAATAGTATTGAAACATGTTGTTTTAGCATCATAAATCTTTTTGATGGCTGAAAATTTATACATTATAAGATGCACTATTTTCAAGACTTGCAATCTATTTTTTTATCATGTCTGTATATCTTGAGGTCAAGATGATCGAATTAAGGGTTTTTAGCATTAAAAAAACTTTTTCTAGCGAATGTTTGAGATCTGCCTTAATTTGATTGTTCAGGGCATCACCCATATGTAAACGTTTTCCTTGGTTCAAAGCTCAAAATAAGCCTTGCTCTATTTCTTTCTGTCCATTTCAACTTTTTGACGTGTTCAGTAAGTACCAATCTAGAAATATTGGGAACCTAGGAATATGAAATCTGGAACTTGGATACCTGATATCAGAAACCTGGAATGGCAAAGCCCTTGTTTGGTAATCTAAGATTTGCGTATCGCTTGTTTGATTAAACCTGGGAAACTGGAAATTAACCTATTTTAACCTTTCATTCGAATACATTACGATGGGTTGATATACGTTCAATGAAGGAACTTCAAAAATCATGTATCTTCCACAGTAGTACTAATAAAAGGGCGTGGTTTGCCTAAGGTTGCAGCCTTAAACAACTAAATAAAGGTGCTCTTCCAAATTTTATCACAAATATAATTTTGGTGTCAAAATTACTTAGAATAACTTGAGAATCTATTTTAATCTCTAATTATATAAAATTTTAAACTCCAAAAATGGTCCAAATCCAGTAAATCTATAAATACATGAAAATCTAAAAAATAGATGGTCCAGATCATGTGTTGTAAGATATATTATTTTTGTTACTCAAAATATGTTTTCTTTACATATTCATACATTTCGATGTAGAGATGACCAACTAGATGGTTTTTCAACATCAAAACAACCTTTTATAACGGATTTTTGAGGTGCATCTTAATTCAACATTTTAAAGTTGCAACGTTATATAAACTTTTTCCCTAATAAAATGAACGGTTTATGTCAAAAAAATTGATAGACAGCTTTGCAATATATGCTATTTGATTTATTCATTTTCTTTATTGGTGTATTTCATTTTTCTGTCATAGCCCATCTATAATAGTACATGCTCTTATAATTACGGAGACATGGTTTACTGATTTTTTTTTACTCTCCTGTGACATGCGTGCTCGAATATCCTCCTTTCCTCCCACAATTAGTTAGTCTAAGAACCGGTTTTCTTTTCTAATTGCAAGCTTGAACTGGATGAGATATGGAATAATTTTTCTCTAAATAGATACTCCCAAACGAAGTAAGATATATTTTCATATATATCTTATGCATTTTTTTCATCTCCCAACTATCCAATCTGAATGGATGGCTAATATGGCCGCAATCATAGTGTCATGCCTATATACTGGTCTATTTATAATGTTTTCTAGAAAATATTTTGACATCAAATTCGAGCGTCCACTCTCTTAAACTCGCACCGGCAAAAAATATTAAAAAAATATATTCTTGATAAATAAAATAACCAGAATAATAAATAAAATAACCAAACTACCCCTAAAAGTTTTAGTGGTATTTTTTTCATTTTATTATTTCAAAAATATTTTTAATATTTTCTTTAGGTGTATCCCATTGAGATGACGATGCGTAATTTGCATATTTATATGATTTATGAAAATAAAATTTTTATATAGAGTTGAGGCTCTAAACAATCAAATTAAAGCCCACCTCAAAAATTTCAATGGAAGATGTTGTTTTGATGCCCAAATATCCGCAAATTGATCATCTCGATATCAAGATATATGGACATGATAAAAAAAAAAAAAATGGATTTCAAGTTTAGAAAATAGTGCATCTTGTAACATATTTTTCGAGTGTCAATTTTTAAGATTTTCAAGTTTTCAAATATCTGCCCGATCTACACTATTTCTTAAGTTTTAAATTTTATAATTAAAGATAAAAATATATTTTATGGCTATCACAAAGATTTCCAATACTAAAACCACATTTCTCGACACTATTTGAAGGTGTGCTTTACTCAGATTGTTTAGAGCTTCGGCTCTATATATACCTCACCCTTTATAAAAAGTTTTAAAAAAAAATACTCTGAGAAGACAAATCTGTAACACATGGTTAGTGGCTCACTTGTAACATTTTGAGAAGATACCTAGGCCATTTTCATCTTAGGGTTTTCGGCGTGAGGTGTCAACGAGTTACGCAGGCTTGAAACTCGAGGTGGATTTTACAACCATGCCACTTGACCTCAGGGTTTTCTCAGTTTGAAAATTTTAACCCTGGCAATTTCTTTGATTTCTTTAGGGGTTTCTTTGGGCTGTCTATAGGAAAGTTTTCTATAGGATGAGACTTGTTTGTTCAATTCCGAATAGAGATGCGAGGCAGCAATGTGGCAATCGCGACAAACACGCTAATCATCATATACGGGTGTCCAAGCTCCTTCATTTTAGAAAATGTTTTAGAAATTTTGAAAGTAGGGGGAGCTTTGAAATAGAACTTGGAGCAGGGTCAGGTTACGATTTTAACAAAAAAAATTAAAGTTTTTAAAAACACAAGACATATAATGAAAATTTTGAAAAGAGGAAGATATTTCAAAAAACAGGGTTGGTTAGCAATTTTAACCCTTGCAACCAAAGAGCCTTCAAAGCAGTTTAGCGTCATACAACAATGGACGCTACACTCGACCTTTTAAGTCATACGGGGATAAACAATACCTGTTTCGACTCTTTTATGTTGCATGAGTTTGACGTTGAACTGGATAACCTGACATTTTACGTCATACAGGGCTAGACGTTACCTGTCTCGGCTCTTTTACTTCGCACGAGTTTGACGTATTAGCTCGATCTTTTAACGTCGCACGAGTTTGACGTGTTAGCTTGTTTTTTTAACGTTGCACGAGTTTGACATGTTAGCTCGGCTTTTTAACATCGCACGAGTTTGATGTGTTAGCTCGGTTTTTTAACATTGCACGAGTTTGACGTGTTAGCTCAGTTTTTTAACATCGCACGAGTTTGACGTGTTAGCTCGGTTTTTTAACTACGCACGAGTTTGACATGTTAGCTCGGCTTTTTAACGTCGCACGAGTTTGATTTATTAGCTCGGCTTTTTAACATCACATGAGTTTGACATGTTAGCTCAGGTTTTTAACGTCGCACGAGTTTGACGTGTTAGCTCGGTTTTTTAACATCACAAGAGTTTGACGATCTCAATCTTGGTTGGCAGTTTAGGCTCATGCCACCGTAGAGCAAAATATTTTTTTGAAATTGGTTGGCAGTTTAGACTCATGCCATCGAGGAGTAAAAGATTTTGAAGTCAGTTGGCAGTTTAGGCTCATGCCATTGAGGAGCAAAAGAGTTTGGAGTCGGTTGGCAGTTTAAGCTCATGCCACCAACGAGCAGAAGATTTTGAAATCAGTTGGCAGTTTAGGCTCACGCCACCAAGGAGCATATGGAATTTTTTGAATTTTTTTTTTATTTGAAAAGGTTGGTCTAATTGAAAAGAAAAAAAAAAAAAATTTTTTGGCAAAAATATTTGGGCGACACGAGGCATGTCGCCCTCACAGGCTGGGCGGCACCAGGTGTGTTGCCCATTTCAATTTTTTTTTTTTCATTTTTTCTATTTTTTTTATTATATTATATATATATATATATATATAATGGTATGACAGGGCGACACCAGGTGTGTCGCTCAAAAAGAGTTGTTACCCCTGTTGTGAGATCTTTCTCAACTTTGCCCCTGTTGTTGGGAGTTTGAAATTTTTTATTTTGGGAAAAGATAAGGCTAGCTCGCTTGCACATCCCATTGAGCTGCGCCCAACGGTCGTGATAAAAAAATTTGAAATCGATGGTCAAGATGGCTTAGCCGCCCTCTCTCTTTTTTTAATGGGGCACTGACACATCCGCTGACACATGATTAATGTTAGCCTCTCTCTCCTATTCTCACTCTCTTCACGGACTTCCTTCTCTCTCTTCACAGACCTCTCTCCTATTCTCTCTCTCTCTTCACGGACCTCCCTCGCTCTCTCTTTGTGGACCTCCCTCTCTCTATGTTCAGCAGTAGCGATGGACGCGATGCAGCAATAGCGATGGATGCGATGGCAGTGATGAAGCAGCCATTGAAGCCCCTGGGCTTGAGCATTGCCTCTCTCTCTTTATCAGTCATTGAAGCCCTCTCATCCCACACAGAGGGATGGACACCTCTCGCTATAGCTACAACAGCAGTAGCGCATCCCTCTCTCTCTGTCTATATGCAGCCATTGAAGCCCTGAGCTTAGGCATCTCTCTCTTTTTAGTAACTATTGAAGCCCTCTGAGCCCACACAGAAATTAAAGCCCTCTCATCCCTCACCATTAGCAACTATTGAAGCTCTCTCGCTAGCTTAAAAAAACCCTGGCTGGCCTCCCAACTGTAGCCCACCCCATCTCTAAAGGTATTCTCTCTCGCTCTCTGTATTTCACTCAGTCAAATACAATCTACTGTCTACAATTTCCATTGATTTGGGGTTGATTGGGGTTTTTAGACAAAACCATGAGGACTGCAGGCATCTTTATATTGGATGATTTGCAAATGCGTCAGATCCTTTCGCATCTCTGTTTTGATAATTTGGTGTTATGATAATTTGGCAAAATGTTGATAATTTCTTATTTACATGTTTAAGTCAAAATTAGGTCCATTACACACGAGCAGTAAATATTGTTACAGCACACCATGCTACTTACTCATTTTGTGTTAAACAAATAAAAAAGAATGCCAAATTCGTTCTATAGAACTGATCTAAGATCAATTCTATGAAAAAATTCGATTGAGAACAAGCTCTAGTGTGACTAGTTGAAATCAGATGACTCGAGTTGTTTGGCTGAGGTTTTCCATTGAAGAAGTCTCCTAGCTTCCTTACTTCCATATCTTTCTTTTTCTTTTTTCTCATGTATCTTTACGGGTATTAAAAATTGAGAGCATCATGGTTCTTGACTCCATTGTGGTGAATGGATGTTCATGCACTTCCAGTTTTGTAAAATGTAATTGGTGGTAATGGTAATCTTACATTGCATTGTGAGGTAAAAGATACCCAATAAAGATATCTTGTAGATGCAAATATCTGTGAATATATGTCTTTGTATATGCTCTTCCTCGTCCATAGCTACCTTATTCCCTAAATGAATATTACATGAATGTGGCATAAAATATTGGCTGAATTTTGTTAGAAATGTGCTCGTTTGGGAACACAGGATAGGACTGTTTAATGGCTTACCAATTCTTTAGTAACAATGGAAACAAAAATGGATTCCATTGAAGGGGAATGAGTATCAGGATACTTGTATAATATTTGTAATTACCATCAGTACTTTTTTAGGATAGGATGGCTGATGTTTAAATTTGTATCGAACTACAATTGCGGAAATGTTACTTGCGGCCTGATGAATGCATGCTGCTAGTGGCCGGTACAAAATTACAAATTAACATGTTACTTGTGGCCTGATGACTGCACGATTAGTATTATTAAAATTGAAATAAATTGAGTTTCTTATTTCTGTTCAATACCTTCATGTGGCATCTGATGCACCATATAATGAATCACTTACTCTTGGAAATTAGAATACATCTGATGCAAACATTTATTTATTTTTCAATTGTCTTTCTCTCCCATTTTCTTTCCCTTTTTGCTTGTTTGTTGCAGTTTTGTTTTTGGCCATTGGGTTTTTTCGCCCCTGTTGCATTGAGTTTATATCACAAGTATGTAGTATCTATTTGTCACAATTTTATCTTCCTCTTACAACGCTAAGGACAAAACACGTCATAAGCTTTGGACCCATAAGAAGGCCGCAGATGTGAGTTGATGGTAAGAAGCAATTGTTTAGAAGTCATGTTTGCAAGTTCATTTTGAAACATTTGTATATGCGTGTAAGTTCATATTTGTAATTTCATTTGGAACACTATTGTCACTCATCAAAATGTGTCTCAGGCAGAGAGGACAAATTCATATGGAACAACTTCAAAGGAGGGGCTATGTTGCTGTTTTTTTTTTTTTTTTGAAAAGTTGTTGTTAAACTATTGGCATTATTGATGTAGGTTTTATGCATTTCACTCAAAAAAAAGATATAGGTTGTATGCCATTGTACTCTTTTCACTTCTTTTTGGGTTGTTAGGTGATATGTAAGGTGATTGGGTACAAGGAACGAACCATTATTTGATAATGGCCAGGACTACTGAATTTTATATGAGCAATTTTGTTATTGAATGGACTACCCCATTTGGCAGGTAGTTGATGAATTGTATGTAATATTATAGTTATCAAATGCAATGTATTATCACTATGGCAATAATTTGTCAACCTGTTTCTTGAAAGGTGTTTAGATGAATAGAATGTAATTCAAATTGTTAGCAGATGCTATATATTATCACAAGAGCACGTCTCGCCAATTGTGAGTCTTTCAATTTGTTAAATATACAATCTCCAGGTCAAGATGATTAACTATAGGGTTTTGATATCTGAAAAACCTTTCAAATAGATTTTTCAAGCGTGCCTTACTTCTACAATATAAGGTTGGCACCTTATATAAACTTTTCCTGCTCTTGGCTGCTAAACTATAAGCCCAAGCTACATGAATTTCTCTAGCTAAAATGAATAAGGAGTTTTTCTTGCATTTTTCATCAAATTTCCATGCTCATTTCATTGAAATCACCCACATATCCCTCAAAGGTGGGATGTCTAGATCCTCCTTTTGATCAGACAACCATCCTCATCAAAAAAAAAAAAAAAAGGATTCACAAGCATTCTGTTAAGTGCCTAAAAATATAATGTCCCTGGATCGAATGGAAATCAACCCGTATTTGGACAGTGAAATCTAAGTGCTTATAATGTCCAGTTTTCTTTGCTGAAAGTGTATTTGGACAGTGAAATCTAAGTGCTTATAATGTCTAGTTTTTTTTGCTGGTAACATTCTAGTGATTCTGTATCGGATCCTAAAATTTAAAATCAAACTAATACTCCCAAGTAGATTTTTTACCCAATGTATAGCGTTCTTGTGCATCTCAAGCAGTCGCTGCTGGCAATAATAAAACAACCACAAAATATGTTTTGGGTAGTTTCTGAAGTGTCCTAAATTGCACAAGATCACAAGTTTCTCATAAGAATCAAGGTAATGAAAGACTCCAAATGCTCTGATTTGGAATGGCTTACAAATCAAATCAAGTCTAATATCTTCTAGTTTAAGCATCCTTTTCGGATATTTACAGAAATCTTGCTCAAATGAGAGTCCCATGACTTAAAAAGAGTTCGCAAATATTGAAACCAGATGCACAAAAGGAGGAGCACAAATTTCATAATTCTTTTATCATTAGCATCCCTCTTTGGGGAGTCAAAAAGTACTAGCAAATACACAGTATCACTCTATATGTCACATAGAGCACATAGAGAGTGAGAAACAATCAACAATATTGTACCTATAAACTATGAAAACAACAAAGATTCAAAACAGGCAAACCCCCAACATCTGAGACATGTAACCTCTCCTCATTCTCTAGTCCCCCACTCTTTCTAGCTTAAGAACAAGTAAACACCACCATCCTAAAAAGTGGTGGCTCTCTCCCTCTATATCTGTCTCTCTGTCTCTGTCTCAAGGTTTCCAAGGAGCCGGAGGTGGCGGGGGAGTATGGAACATGAGTGGCACCGCAGCGAAGATGGTATTCTTGTCGATGGAATGTAACTCACCGAAGAGAGAAACCAAAGTAGCCACCAAAGCAGCATTGCCAGCGAGAGTGGGCTCAGTGTAATGGTAGTTTCCTCTTACCTCTTTGAAACCATCATGCTTGTCGGGTCCTGCCACCATTGCCCCCACAAGTGTGTTTGGGTTAGGCTTGGGCGTGTCCCTCCCCATTTCTACCCACCCTTGCAAGAATACTTGATCTTGTTCTTAGGGATTGAGGCTGCTCTATGGTGCACATGTTTTGGGTTGTGGTTTCTGAAACCCACAATATAGCTCATCTTTCACGGGTTCTTCCCTAGAATGTAATCAATCTGCAACATGGAAAGTGGTTAAACATTAGTATGAGTAATTTTCAGTATTCATCAACAAAAAAGCCTCTCTCTTTCTCTGAAATTGTAAACTTAAGCATGCATGTGCAAGAAGAGTTTTGGATCTCATGGGGAAGCACATGCTCCACCACACTCGCTCTGTAAGAAGGTTTTAAATTCTCCCAAAAATATTTAGCTTACCCCAAAATTAAGCTTGCATGTACAAGAACAATACCAAGATGGGTCACTCCTAGGATTGGAGTGTGTTGTGTTGTACCTACACTAGCAAGGAAATGCTTTTTTCGAGTTCTTTTATTTATTATAAGAAAAATTATGGGCAATGCTTCCAAACCAGAACACTAAAGATTTGGCTAAATTTTACATGATCATAGTCCAGGATCCAATAGTTTGCAGATCACAGGCAACATACCCATTTGAACAAAAGTCTTTTTTTTGGGTCATTTCTCCAAGCCTTATCTTTGGCTAAATTTTGCAAGATCACAGTCCAGGATCTGACATTTGTGGTTCAACCTTCAACTGTTTCAGTTTTATGTCTGTGTACCTATTTGAAAGAAAGTGTTTTTGTTTTGCCCTGAGATTTATCTTGTCATATATCAAATGATAGATAACTTACTCATCAATCAATGAGTAAAATAATTTATCCAATGAAAAAAATATATTATGCGAGAGTACTTGGGTTCTTGTAAAATTGCGTAGAAAACCAATTTGGCATTCTTTTTTATTTGTTTTACACTAAATAAGTGGCATGGTGTGCTGTAACAATATCTGCTACTCGTGTATAATGGACCTAATTTTGTCTTAAACATGTAAATAAGGAATTATCAACATTCACCAAATTATCATAATGCAACAAAAAAAACTCTTCCAAATGTAATGAATTAATCTTATATCATATCAAATAAAATTTTTCAAACAAACAAACAAAAAAAACCCACATTCTAGAAGATATAACATGCACCTTCGATTAATTCACTATTTCTCTCTTTAATCTATATGATCCAATTTTTCGATTTCGCATTCAATCTTAGGAAGACCAGTCCAGAAACCCATCTCAACCTCAAAAAACAACAGCAACCACTCTCCCTCTCTATTGTTCACAGGAAACACAGATCCAAACGAGAAACTACCGTATCCAAAACAAAGATGAGAAAGCATCTGATATATTTGTATCTCATCCAATATAGAGATGCCTGTGGTCCTCATGGTTTTGTCAAAAAACCCCAATCAACCCCAAATCGATGGAAATTGAAGACAATAGATTGTATTTGACTGACTCAAATACACACAGAGAGAGAGAGAGAGAGAGAGAGAGAGAGAGAGAGAGAGAGAGAGAGAGAG